GAGTTTCTTATTTTAAGAGGAAAATCCTCTAAATAGTAATATTGATAAGAATATATACTGATTAGAATATAAAAAGCCTCTATAGAAAAACATATATATCTCACTATCGAAAAAGACTATATTCTTAAATAAAGAATATATTCTTAGTTTCAGAAGAATATCATCTAAAATCTTTAAGAAGATTTTTTAAGTATAAAATCTTCAACTTACAAGAATATAATTTTTTCGGTGTAGGAATTCGGCACAATACATAAGAATAAAACATAAGAAAGCACCTAACGCTTCGATATAACGGGTAATAACGACAGAGAGACGCGGATTGTTGCGACCGCGATGGAAAGGCGAGAGCAGCGGCACAATGAAATATCTACAACAATTACAACAAAGAACCGCGAAACGCAACACAACAGATTTTCGGCAACATATAAATCGCGCAACATCGAACTCTCGGGGTTGGCTCCGTCGAGATTCGATTCGCGACAACGATATTGAGTCGCGAAATGTGCGGAAGAGAAGCAACCACACTCACGTTCATCGGCGGCCTTCCGCATAGAATCAGTTGTTCGGCTCTTTTTCCTTTTCGGAGGTCTTTTCTCTCTGTGTGTCCTTCGTCGGCTAACACTTCACCAAGAACTTGATCTCCGGTTGGCAAGCGGTTGGAACGATGAATTTGCGCGGCCAGCAAACAAATGAAACTCGCATTGCTCGGCAATTACTTTTGCTTGTTGAGCGCTGTTCTTCGCGCTAAACAGCTAGATCAATCGGATTTCTTCTTCCGTGACTTTGCGATTGACAGCGGCCACAAAGTCTCCCGACAACATAACGACTCAGGTTCCTTCTCTTGTCCGTATCAGACTCGCTTCTGTTATTTTCATGAGATGAGCTCGCTGAGACTCATTTCTCAGCATCACTCTGAGCCTGTCACTCCGGCGGAAAACTCCGATTCGAATTTTTGGAGATCGGAGCGCGCGCTTCCTCCCCCTTTGAATCCACCGTCGAAATTATATCGCCGAGCATCCTGTGCCTTTGACGTCTTACGCCCCTGGATTCCTCGCTATCTCCACTTCCATCTTCTCTCTTCCTCGCTCCACTTTTATCCGCCGACTACGCAAAGTGTGCTGCTCTCTCCGCGTTGAAAATAAATTACAATAGTGCGGCTGAGCGGCGCACAACAATAACACAAAATGCCTTAATGGCAATGAAATGAGGCTGAAAATAAGAATATTTAATGCAACAATTTGTCGGATAACGATGCTCATGTTTGAATTGACACACAACGCGCCTTTGCTTGCGCTACGCGACCTAACGAGCCGCTGCTCTCCCTTAAATAGTGGGAAACGCGAGCTCACACCGCCTCCCGTGCCAGCCGGAAATGCATCCCCGTGACGGGCACGAAAAGTGTCGCAACATACATTATTTACATATCATATAATAATATTTACATAATATATGTATATGTATATATATATATATATTATGTAAATAAGTAAATTACATTAAAGGCCACCTACATTAAAATACGCAACAATTTAGTAATGTTATATCTTTCTGTTAAATTTTGTATTTGTCGATGACACATTTTTTTTATTTATTCCGATTTGTGTTTTTGGCTTTTTTGAGAATTCTAATGCTGTTATTTGTTCATTATCCGTTTCAATATCTAGAGCGCACCACAATCGAGCTGTCGTATAAAACACACGTGTATAGCACGCGACTTTCCATAATGCGGAATCATTATTAAATCAGAAGCGCTGCCAACGCGAGGCGAACGGATGCGACCGACTGCACGACTCAGACTTTTCACTGAAGAGTGAGAGAAGAGGTTTCAAAATAAGAAGAAATCAGATGTAACTGTCTTTTCCGCACACGCGAATATAATTCCTTATCCCAAACAAATTTGCGGAGATGCCTGTATATAGAAGAAAGTCTCGAGAGAGACGTTGCTTCCAAATTTCCTGTTTGTCGAGGTTTAGTCATTTTTCTAACACACACAATATTAAATATATGTTTCACTATTAAATAACACACGTTTTGAAATGTTTTTTTTTCAAGTTTTGCAATTTTTAAAGTTCTTTCTCTCTCTCTCTCTAATATTTATGTGTACTGAATGTTAACATTCTTTCTGCTCGTTTCTTTTGACAATAGATTCTTTTGACAATGTTGAATTTTTTTTTTTTTTTTATATATATGAACATAAATCGCGTCAATATTATATCGGAAATTATTGAGCGCCGCGAGTAATGTATTTTCTTGAAGATTGCACGATGTTTTGCAATAGTTTCCTCTTCTCGACGTTAATTGGCAACATAGTTTTGTTAATAAATTATCACGCGCGATACATTTACGCGTCTGCATCGAACGTAGCGAATTTATCACCGTGTAAAATATGTGACTTTAGTTTACCGCGAAAATTCGTTATAACAAAAATGAAAAATTACAAAATAACTAAATTACTTTATATGATTATTCAAGAAAGGTAATCGAGCGAGAATTTGTTGGGCGTTATTTGTTGAGAGACAAATCCAGTTCCTTCTATAAAAATTCGCGCGATCGTTCGCAATGTTCGAATATTTACACGTTAAATTATACAATAACTCGTAGAAAATTATACAATGACTCTTAAGAACTTCGATCGATTAGATTTACAATCGATTTCGATTTTGTCATCGTAACACATTTATTTTGCGATAAGTTTCTGTCGGAGACTTTCGCAATTTCACATTTCTTTTTGTCTCACATATTCTACGCGCCACTTCGATCTTTATCTCATAGTTTTTATTAATTGCTTTTTTGCGCAAACTATGATAAAACCCACTATTAAAACTGCGTGAAATAAATTTCAACAATCAATCCGTTTAATGAGTGAAATTGTATATCAG